GAGAGTATGGGAGGGGATTGTAGCAGCCACCCTAGGGCCCCTGTGCAGCACTGTGTGAGGGGCACCTTGATAGGCTCCACTCAGCTGTGGCCCTGTGTGGCCTTAGATGTGGCTATGAGATCCTGGGCTGTGTGTTGTGCTTATTGGTCTTATTGATCAGAGGCCTGTGCTGAGACCCCTGGGAAAAACACCCAAGTACAGATCTGACTCCACCGTGGTGGGAGGATGGACTGACTACTCAGTGGATGACATTGAATGACCAGCTTCCCTGTGAGACGAAGCTATGAGCCAGGCATTCTGGTGCACACCTTAATCCCTATGACTTAGGAGGCTGAGGCAGGAGGATCTCAAGTCCGAGGCCAACCTGGGCACCTCATACCCTTTCTCAAAAAAAAAAAAAGTAAATAAAGGGCAACAAAGCTGTTACCTTCTCCTCTACCAAGATGAATTACATGAAAAAAGTGAAGAACAAACCCACGAAGTGTTCTAGGGGGGAAAAATGAATGGATACAGAATTTGGGGGATGAATATGCTACCCTGCAGGGTTCCTGTTGCAGGAGATGTCAGATCAGCTAAGAGGTGGCCGGTGCAGAGTGGACATCTGGGCTGCCCCACTCTGGGCCCACTGTGTGCCTTAGCTTGTTGCCTTGTGCTTTGAGAGGAGATCGGGACACTCCCTTGTAGGGTGGCTATGGCCAGTATGTGAGCAACATGTGGCACAGGGCTGGTGATGGCCCAGCATAGCTTATGGACCTGCTGGGAATGTGCGTGTGTCAGGTGGCTTGGTTTGTCCCCACTCTCTCAGCCGACTGTCACGTGCTGCAGGTCTTTGGGGAGCAGACGGGAGTCGTAGTTGTGGGGGTGGGCTCACCACTTCAGTGAGTGAAGGGAACGTGGATCCCAAGGTGCCCTCTCACCCACCCCTGCCTCCTTTCCTAGCGCGCCTTTTGACAAGACAGCCAACATCACCTTCTCCCTCCATGCGGATGACGAGAACGTGAGTGCTTGCCTGTCCTGGACAGTGGGGTGGAGGGATGTGAGGGCACTGTGGGCAGAGGAGTCATCTTCCCACCCTGTACCTCTAGCCCAATGCCAACCTGCTCGAGATATGCTATAAGGACCGCATCCAGCAGTTTGATGATGATGATGAGGAGGAAGAGGATGAGGAGGAGGGCCCGGGTTCTGGGGAGTCGGATGGAGAGTATGGTGCTTGGCAGGGCAGCCAGCTGGTGAGGACAGCCCGCTTGGGCCAACCCCCTGGAGTCCGGTGAGTTCCTGGCTGAGTGAGAACTCAGGAAGGAGTAGTAGTGTGTGTACTAGTTGGGGCACTTTGAATTTTGAGTGATAGAAACCCAGACCAAATGAGTTGAGCTACAGAAGGAAAAGGACAGACTAGGAGTGCAGATGGGTCCTCCCTCCATCACATGGCTGCTCCCATATGAGCTCTTAGGCACGTTTCCCGTACAGGGGTAAAGGGTCCCTTTTTCCTAATTCCACAAAGCTGGAATTAGGTTGTGATCAGCCTTGTGTGAATATTGTGTTAATTTTTTGTTCTTTGATTAAATGGATTCATGCTGTGTATATTTTGCCAGCATGAACACCAGGTCAATGGGCTGTGACTCTGTGGGCTGCCTGATGACTTGATTTGCAGATTAGTGTGTTTTATATTAACTTTTTTTTTTTTTTTGGTAGTAATGGGGCTTGAACCCAGGGGCATGCTACCATTGAGACACATTCCTAGTCCTTTTCATTTGAGACAGGGTCTCCCTAAGTTGCCCTGGTTGGCCTTGAACTTGGTGTCTCCCTGCTCAGCTTCCCTCACCTTCCAGGTGCTACCACACCTTTTTAATGATGTTACCTTTTTAACGATATGTGTGTCATGCATATAGATAAGTGTAGCACCCCAAGAGTACAGCTACATGGACTCCCCTTTGTCAGTACCTGATCTGGGAGCTGGGCCTTTCATTTCCTGGGGTACCCTCTGCTGGCCACTGACCTTGATGTCCTGCTGTAGACCACTATGTGACTCTGGTGCAGGTTGAACATCCTGTGTCTAATGTGCCTGGGGCCAGTAGAGGAAGAGAGTGGACCGTTCTATCGAGTGGAGGCTCTGGGTGGGGAGGCCTGCTAGGGGATGATGATGCTGGTGATGTCCAGTGGGCACTCAGGAGCTGGCATCTGTCTGTGTGACCTTCTGCTGTGTCTGAGTCTGTATTTCCTGGATGTCTGTCCTGCCTTGGAGGACAGATGGGGATGACCGTCTTTACTGCTCTGTTCAGCACATGCAGGAATCCCTGTCCCTAGGCTCTAGGACCTCCTTGTCAGTGGCTTCCCAAAGTCCTCCTCTGCCTGTTTTCTTTTGTCAACATCTGTCTACCCTGTGGCCCTGGGCTGCAGTGGGGGAAGTGGGTCAGTGGGCTGTCCCTGCATGGCCACCTGATGAAATGGTGTCGGGGGCAGGAGTGGAGGCAGCACAGACAGCGAGGACGAGGAGGAAGAGGAGGAAGACGAGGAGGAGGCTGATGGCAGGGCAGCCCGTGTTCGGGTTGACCCCACTTCTTACCCCACAGCTGGCTCTCTGCCTCCTGGTGAGTGTTAGGTGGTGGGTGATCGGGTACACATGGGGTGTGTGCTGCTAGCTCACCTTTGTCTCCATTCCCTGGCCCCTGCCCCAGGCCCAAGCTGGACCGCCACCTTTGACCCAGTGCCTATGGATGCCCCAATGGACCCCCAAGTCTCCGGGGAGGAGGAGCTACACTCTGGGCCTCCAGCACCTGCGGGGCCCCTTGACATGCCGCCCACCCAGAGCCTGACCAGTCCTTCAGCCCTCAGTGCCCTGCAGCTCAGGTGAGGGCAGGTGGGGCAAGTGGACATGAGACTGACATTCCTGGGTCCTCTCCCTAGGCTTGGGTGCTGACCCCAGCCACACCTTCGGGCTCTTCTCTTACCTCCTAGGTCTCAGGACCCCACGCCCACCTCAGCACCTCAGGAAGTCACAGATGATAGCAAAGTGACAGAGTCCTCTGGTGAGCCTGCCTGTGCCCTGCCCACTGGGGTCCTGGGGTCTCAGCCTGGCTGTGTCTGAAGCTGCTGGGAGGCAGCAGCTGATACCTGCTCTGTCTCCTTCACAGCCCCTTGCCAGGCCTTGGTTAGCACCGAGGGCCTCCAGGCCACCCTGCATGGGATGCGCTCCACCCCCAGCAACTTGGACAGGTAAAGGGGCGTTAGTCCGGGTTGCTGGGGGGCAGGGGCAGCCTTATGTTCCTGTAGAGATGGGTGTGGCTGTCTTGTCTCGGGCTGCTCCTGGTTGCTGAGCCTTTCCTTGCATTCCCTGTGGCTTTTTTTATTTTTCCTAAGTAAATACGCATAGGGCAGGAGTAGGCTTGAGGGTCCTTGTAGCCCCAGGGGCAGAGAAAGGCTTCCTGGAGGGTGTAAGGGGTCTTCAGAAGCCGATGTGCAGAGGACCTATGTGGGTGGGAAGCACCTCCTGCACAGGGTATCTGGTGCAGCTGATGTGGGGTACAAAGTGGGCACCGCTTGCCTGCCCCTTCCCCTGCCTGGGCTGTTTGGTCCCACTTTACTCTGCCATCTGTATCCTCATGGGCATCCACGAAGCTACCAAGCATCTAGCTGGTGTCCGGCCATGATGCTCAGTAAGGCCCCTCTAGGAGTGATGGGCAGTCTAGGGTGGATTATGGTAACAAGTGAGGCTGTCCGCTGACTGCCTCATTGGTCTTGTTTACAGTGCCACCAGAGACCCCTCTACCTCCATCCCAGCCTCCGGGGCCCACCAGTCCCCCAAGACCACAGAGTGGGAGAAGAGCCCAGGGCCCATGGAGCTCCCCCCAGGCCAGAGGTGAGCAGTGAGAAGGCCTCCCTTGGAGGAGGGACTGGAGTGGGGCAAGCTGGGAGGCAGGCAGTGACCTCTGGGTCCCTTCTCTTCTCTGACAGTGCCCAGGCCCTTGAGCCTCCTCCAGTGCCCAACGGCTCTGCCCCTGGAGGGCCCATCTCCCCGGGCTCCCAGTGAGTGTGGCCACAGCCTGGGGCAGGTGGGAGGGACAGGGCTCCTGGACCCTCATGTTCTGTCTCCCTCTCCTCCCAGGTAGCTGCCTGGTGGTGGTGGCGGCGGCCAGATCCTCCGTCCTTTCCGTGGACCCCAGTGGGGCAGGGTGGGTCCCAAGATGCCCCCTGCTCCTGTCACCCCCTTCCTTCACATTCTCTCCTCTGGATTCCCAGGAGGCTGGTGCCAGGGAGACAAGCCCCCACCCACCCCCATTTGCACTGAGAAGAGAAATTACGGAGCTTTGTCTCCCAGAATAAAGATAGAGAGTCATGTGGAAAGAAGGAAGAAAGAGAGACATATATTATATATTATATATATACTGAGAAGGAGAGAAGAAGCTGGGATGCCGCGTAGGGTCCGTGGCTCCGAAGCACACCCTCCCTGTCTATCCTGGTGGGGGCTGGCTCTGGGGTCCTGAGGCTGCTGCCGTGCCCCAGTTCTGTGTTCTGTGGTTCCGGTGCCGATGCCCGTGCCCATGCCCACATCCAGCCTTTCAGCTCAGGTCCACCTTGGGGGAAAGCCTGCGAGGGTGTCGGGCCCGAGTGGGGCTGTGCCTTCGCTCAGACCCTGCACTTTCACCCAGGCGCCTGGCCCTGGGGAGTGGGGCCTCCCTGGCAACATCCCCAGGGGCCCTGAATCAGTTTGGCTGGGCCCCCTTGCCCAGGGGCCTGGGGTCCCAGCCCTGCTGCCATGTGGCCTTGTCCCCCCTCCCCCAGCCTGGCGTGAGTGTGCGAGTGTTCGTGCTGAGCTTCTATTTCATATTGCAAATATAAATAAAGGAAGACTGTTTACGATTCTTGATGGTCAGACCTTGAGTTCTGGAATGTGGGGTGGAGAGCAGCTTCCCCTCTGAGGCTGTGACCCTTGTGGGACATGGTCCTGGGTGGGGCAGTGACCCATGCCCAGCTGAGGCAGAGATTTCCAGGAGGAAATCTGCCCTGTCCCCAATCTACACGGATCCACACCCTCACAGCACATCTGCATTTGACATCCCGAAGTGTCCCTGGCCTGCATGTGCAGGCTCGGGTGGGGCACTGCTGAGTCTGCCTCCCAGCCAGATCCACCATCCCTGCTCTGCTGGGGACTTGGGGCAGCTGGGAGCCCTGGGCTCTGGAGGCCTCAGGTTCTTGCTGGTGGAAGGAGGGAAGTTGGAATCCTGCGCTCATCCCTGGTGAGAAGCAGTGAGCCACATTACGGATGAGTGGGTTTCCAACGAGGCACATGACACCCCCCAACACCGCAATTCCCTGAGCCCCGCGGTCCCTGTGGCAGTCCCCATCTTCCAGATGGGAAGGCTGAAGAGTGAGCGCTGCATGCAGGGGGTAAGTATCCTGACAAACTGCTGCAGTGACCCCTGCACTGGGACAAGGACAGCATCCTCACTGCACCCTCATTCAGCCAGTGCTTGGCAGGGAATGGGGCAGGAAGGCCCCTTCCCACCACCTTCCCACCCTTCCCACCCTCCCCGGCTGGCCCACTCCATTGGAATCCTGAGCTGCCCCTTCTGATTGGCTGGGCACAGGACAATGGGAAGGGCACTTGTGGGCCTCACCCCCCAGGCAGAAGAAACCAGGCCAGGTTCGTGTGTGCTGGGCAGGGGCTGTGGGGATGGAGGGTCCCTTGGGTCCAGATGGGCACCTTATTAGAGGGCATCAAGCAAGGGCAACTCCTGAGGGGGGGGGCAGTTTCTCTCTGGGTGCTGTTATCAGTCCCAGCATCCACAGGACGCTCTTTGGGTTAATGTGTGACCATGACCTCTTTCCTCCTCATCCTGACTCACCAGCTTCCAGGTACAGGCCACTCTGGCATCGTACCAGCATGGAGAGTGGGAAGGAAGTGCTGCTCCTGAAGACGCTCCTAGTCCAAGTGAGGGCCTGCAGAGGCACGGGCCTGGGGCAGGGCCTGGGGCAGGGCCTGGGGTCCTCTGCCTGCCCAGGAGACAGAAAATCCTGGTCCCCGAATAGGTCCTGCTGGGACAGCTCTGGCCTGGGGTGGGGGTGAAGTGGGGAAGCTGGGAGATGTGAGTCTCAGCCTGGTCAGGCCTGGCCCCTCTGAGGGCTAGAGCTGGACTGAGTGCTGAATGAGAGTTCGGTGCTTGTCCTCTCTGCAGCACCAACAGGCCCGCAGATGGCTGAGCCCCTTCATCGTCACCTGTTCCATCTACTTCCTCCTCTGGATTCCTGAGAGCCAGTCGACCTGGGTCAGCGCCCTGGTCAGGAGCCTGCCTGTGCTCTCCCTGGTGGCGTACCCGTGGGCCCTGGCCTCTGGCGGGAGCTACGCCTGGCTTCTCCAGGGAGGCCTTGTGTGCTCGGCTGTGGGGAACGCCTGCCTCATGTGGCCCGAGGCCTTCCTGCATGGTGAGCGGGGACCTGGTGACGCTGTATCTGGGGCCCTTGGGGGGGACGCCACCTTGCAGTGCAGCAAGGCTGCGAGGACCCTGCACACAGGGTCAGACGGGAACAGGAGGGTGCAGCTCTGGAGGGGTGGGGTCAGACAGTGCGCACTTAGAAGGCGGAAGTGGCGTGGAGGAAAAAGGTGGTTGAAGAAGGTTTTACTGAGGGAGTGACCAGTAGGCATTCTCGAAGGAGGTGCCCCAGGCATGTGTTGGGGAACATGTTCTGAGCAAGGAACTAGCTGGTGCAAAGGCCCTGGGGCAGTGGCACACCAGGCCCTTTGTCCACGTGGGCCAGGGTGATGAGCAGAGCAGTGATGGGCAGAGGGTGTCGGTATTCCAGAGCAGAATGGGGAGGTGGTGGACAGTGAGACAGCAAGGATGCAGCCCAGGCTACATTCAAGAGTGAAGGTGGCTCCTGCTGCTTTGAGAACTGACAGAGTAGCCAAGGCAGGGAGAAGTTGGGGAGCCACCGAGGAGGTGGCCCTGTCATCCCAGCAGGCAGCCACGGCATGGCCAGGGTGGGAGCTGGTCCTGGGACCATCCTCTCAGACCTGGGTGGGGCCAAGGGAGAACAGAAGGACTTGGGTGGTTCTGAGAACAGCAGAGGAGGAGGGTGAGCAGCTCTCTGGGCACCCACCTCCCTCCTCAGGTGTGACCGCCTTTGCTGCTGCCCACTTCCTGTATTTCTGTGCCTTCGGGCTCTCCCCGCTGCAGCCGGCCCTGCTGCTGCTCACCATCCTGGCCTCTGTGGTGTACTACGGCCTGCTTCTGCTGCACCTTGAGCCGGACATGTTCCTGCCAGTGGCAGGCTACATGCTGGTGGTGTCCGCCATGCTATGGCGTGGCCTGGCCCAGGGTGGGAGTGCAGGCTGGGGCGTTCTGCTCCTCGCGCTTTCTGATGCCATGCTGGCCTGGGATGTCTTTGTCCACCCCTGCCCTACGCCCGCCTGGTGACCATGTCCACCTACTACTTAGCCCAGCTGCTCATCACCCTGTCAGTCAAGAGCCTAGAGCTCAAGAACGACTGACCAGGAGCCAGATGCCCAGTCCCCTCCCTCCCCTCCCCCAGAGACGGACCCAGCCTGAGAAACACCCTCACGGCCAAGCCTCGGGTGCAGCTGCAGTGCTGTCTGTCTCGAGACGCCTGTGTGCTCTTGGCATTCCAAGCCTGCCGCTGGGTTCAAGCTTCCTTCCCTGGGTTCTGGCTCTGGACTCTGGGCCTCTCGGCCAGACCCGTATTCTGCCTTCCCCTGTCTCCCCACCATCTGCCCCTTCCCACGGCTCCCATCTGTCTTCTCGTTGCCAAGTAAAGTGGGAATTGAAACAGAGCAGCCCTGTTATTTTGGGAACACGTCGGGGAGGGATGATCACAGTCCATAAGAGCCCAAGAGGCAGCCTGGTGCCCATGGACCCCCTGGAGCCCTTAGGTGGGGGTGTCCATCCTCCCCTTGTTATAGGGGAGCTATAGCATGGAAGCCAGGAAGGACATATCTTAGAGGACACAACCCACTATAATCACGGTATCAGGAGTTGAGGTGAGGAGGGCACAGGTGACCGGGAGATGGGATAGAGCAGGAAGGAGTGACCACAGCAGTGTGACCTCTGCGACTGAGGCCATGACCGGGTGGGCGCTCCCTCCCGACGTGACGTCTGCACCCACAGTGTGCACGTGAGACCATGCGTTGCGTCCTTGTGTGGTTTAAGGAGCTCCTACAGCAGAGGAGGAGGGTGAACAGCTCTCAGTGGGAAGTGAGGGCTGGGTGGGGGAAGCGGGCCCTAGCAGTGAGGGTGGGGACCAGATCTGCAGTGGAGGAGGTGGCAGCAGAGGGATTCCCTCGAGCAAAGGGAAGACAGGAGGTGAAACTCTTCCTCCTTGGTTCCTGCCCTCCCTCCCTCTCTTTAGAAGAGCCCCAGAGGGAAGTACACAGGGCTCCTGACTTGCAGACATGGAGGGTGGGAAGCCCTGCTGTGTGAAGAACCCAAGAACCGCAGCTTGCTTGGGAGGGGAAAGGCGGCTAGGGAGCCTGTGTTGGAGGAAAAAGAGCTGAAGCCTCGGATTCCTGGGACTGAGGGAGGGGGCTGGCCCTGGACCCCTGGGTCTGAGGGAGGAGGCTGGGCCTGGACCCCTGGGTCTGAGGGAGGAGGCTGGGCCTGGACCCTGGGTCTGAGGGAGGAGGCTGGGCCTGGACCCTGGGTCTGGAGGGAGAGGTTTTACTGGCTCCCTCTCCCTCTCTCTCTCCCTGAGCTGTGTGGCCCAGTGCAGGCGTGGTCAACAGGAGCACATGTACCACACATTGTGGCTTGGGACTGGCTTGGGATGAGGGCTAGGCCTGGGATTCCTACCGCCTTTGTTTGGGCAGGGAAGAGAGGCTGCAGGGATGTCTTAAGTGTGCTCAGACTGAGGGAGGCCCACATCACTGCCCAGAAACCTGTGTTCCTGTGTGAGTGAGTGCATGTGGACACGTGTGCACAGAGTGTCCTGGACTGTTCCTCAGCCACCAGGGCTGTGTGTGATTGTGACATCTGCAGCAGGCAGAATGGGCTCCAAGTTAGCTGTGTCCTGATCCCCAAAGTCTGTGAATGTGTCCCCTTCTGTGGGGAATGTTGTCGAAGGTCACCAATGGAGTAGAGGTTACTGGTCAGCTGGCCTGAAGACAAATTGTCCTGCTTGTCTGGGTGGCCCCTGTCATCTCAGGAGTCCTTTGGAAAGGAGAGGGAGGCAGGTTGGAAGAAGCCTGGCTGCTGGCTTTGAAGGTTAGAGGGGAGCCACATTCTGCCCTGCAGCTCAGGGGGAGCAGCCTTGCTCCGTCTCCACCTCAAGTCAGTGAGACCCATTTCAGACATCTGCGCTTCAGTCCTGTAAGACAGTAAATTGATGTACTCTTTTTTTTTTTTTGAGTTGTAGATGGACACGGGCCTTTGTTTATTTCTATGTGGTGCTAGGAATGGAACCCAGTGCCTCACACATGCTAAGCAAGTGCTCTGCCACGGAGCCCAGCCTCAGTCCTGATGTAGTCTTAAATGACTAAATTTGTACAGATTTTTTTACAGCAGCAAATATAAAACTAATATCTCAGCCCGCCTTCTTGGAGGTCATGAAGCATGTCCTTAGCCAAAATCTGAGGCCTGGGCTTATGCAGCATGGCCTCCCCTCCCACTTACTGCCCAGAAGAGCAGCAGCGCCTCCACAGCCTCGTTTGCCGAAGTGGGAGTCCGAACAGTTCCCCAGCTCTCTGGGCAAAGTCTCAGGGCTGTGTCTCCAGCACAGCCCACCCAGGGGGCTTGCAGGCCTCTTTGCTGTTGTCACCTTGCCCCCTCCTCTGCAGCAGTACCAGAGGCTTGGCAAGTCTGAACACATCTGCCCCTTGAGCTGACCCCTAGGGCTGTGCTGTGACTAGAGGTAGGCCTCCTGGGGCGCATGGAGGGTCAGCCCTGGTGCTCCCTGCGGGTAGCCTGCTCTTCCTGGCTAGACACCGGGTCTTGAGCTGTTCTTACACCTGGCTCATTGGAGATCACAGAGAGGCATGCAGGGCTGGGTCAGTGTCTGCAGCCCCGGGCAGTTGCTGTCTGTGGCTCTGGGCCCTAGCAGTTGTTGCCCGAGTAGCTTCCTCTCTGCAGCTGTCTGGCTGGTTCTCTAAAACTCCTGTCAGCTGGACGGTGGCTTTCCAGATCTGCAGCCTTCATCCTGGGCGTGGACCCCTTTTTGTTTTGTGTTGCTGTGTTCTGTTGGAGACTTCTTTTACAAACCCTCTACCAAACCTTCCACTGGATTTCATTCTATCTTTTCATATTCTGAATTTCCCAGAGTCTCTTCCTGGTCTCTGGTGGTTCCACAGCAGCTCGTTTCCTTTCTGTAGAAGTACCTCTCTGAGCATATCACAGTTTTTTCTCTGAAGTTCTCTACTGGACTTGGATCATTTCTGTTTGCTCAGGAGTTCTGTGTTCTGTTTTCTGTTTCTTTCTGCTTCACACTTCTCTGTGGTCTCCTGTCTTTCCTTCTCTGGAGCTTCTCCTGGGCTTACTGCTGTCTGGATTTTTGCTAAGCAGTGCCTCATTCCCTCCTGCAGTACTCAGGTTTTCTTCCATCCGTCATCTGTCCATACACTATCAGTTATCTATCACCTATCTAGGTACCTGTGTAATCTTGAATGAGCTTTAAAAAAAATGGGCAGGGGCTGGGGTTGTGGCTCAGTGGTAGAGCGCTTGACTAGCATGTGTGAGGCATTGGGTTCAATTCTCAGCACCACATACAAATAAAAAAAAAATAAAGGTCCATCTACAACTAAAAAAATTTTTTAAAAAATGGGCAGTGCTAGGGATTGAACCCATGCTTCAAGCATGCCAGGAGTGAGTCACATCCCCGCTTTACCCCCATTTACCCCCATTTACCCCCGAACCACATCCCCGGCTATTCTTTTTTTTTTTTTTTTAAACAGAGAGAGAGAGAGAATTTCAATATCTATTTTTCAGTTTTCGGCGGACACAACATCTTCGTTTGTATGTGGTGCTGAGGATCGAACCCGGGACGCACGCGTGCCAGGAGAGCGCGCTACCGCTTGAGCCACACCCCCAGCCCCTCCCCGGCTATTCTTGTCTGATCTTATGTATCACCTCTGTGCCATCTACCTACCTGCCTATTGTCTTTATATCCATCTGCTGCCAATCAACCATGTGTCATTTGTCCAACTGATGTCTATCTGTATCTGTTTAATCTATCACCGATTTCTTCACTCAACTTTTTTTTCTGGTACCAGGGATTGAACTCGAGAGCACTCAATCACTGAGCCACATCCCTAGCTCTATTTTATGTTTTATTTAGACACAGGGTCTCACTGAGTTGCTTAGGGTCTCGCTTTTGCTGAGACTGACTTTGAACTCATGATCCTCCTGTCTCAGCCTCCTGAGCCGCTGGGTGTCGCCAGCTGGCTTGGCTGACAAGATGAACTGGGTTCAAAGGAGCTGGCTGCAACCACAAACTAAGAAAATGGCAAAGAAACTATGCAACAAACAAACCTAAGTTTCAAGGGTGGGTCTTCTCTGGGACCCCGAGGGTCAGCTCCACACTGGGCAGCTGGAAGAAGCAAGAAAAGCGCGCACCTGGAACCCCCTATTTATTGGAGAAAAGACATTTGATAAAGTATTCTACCCACAAGAGGCAAGGGGTTTCGAAAGTTGGAGTCTTGCTTGGTGATGGCTTGTGGCCAGCAGACTGACACCTTGGCAAGTCACAGGTGATGTGTGGGATCACAGGCAGAGTGAAAAGAAAGGCACACTTGGGTCGCACAGCCCAATCAGCGCACCACGCCAGACCCCTCCCCTCATATGCTCAAATGCGCATAGCTCACACAGAGCCCATGGATGGCTCGTGACATCTCTCCCTTTCTTAATTTATGAACACAATTGAGGGGTTATAACTTCCAGTCCTGGATTCTTGGTCATGATGTCATGATCTACTCTTATGACATAAAAAGAATTAGTAGAAAACATATCATCTCAATAACATACCTTGTAGGATGTTTCAACGTTTGTGGGATTAAAGCCATTTAATTCCTGAAGTATTTGACCAGCTAGAGAGATAGGATCCAAAAGATCAATTTCACCTTTTTGAACACCCTGGATATGGTGATGTAACTCAAAAGATCCAGGTTATTATTATGGCTCTGCCAAATATTCATTAGAAGATTTTAGTCTTTTCCCAATCTTACTGGGAAGCCTTGTAGTTGGCCATTGTAACAGACACATTTCTAATCAATTTATTTCTCCTGCACCCTTACATGCACTGTGGAGGGCACAGTGCTTCATTCCTTCTGGTTGCCGAGCAGACCCAGCTGCTGATCCCTCCTCCCCTTGCCAGGCATTCAGTTGCTCGGGGCTTTTATGAAGGAGAATGTGCTGTGGACATTCTCCTGCTGGTCTTTGTGGGCTTATGTTTTTATTTTCCTGTAAATACATAGAGGTGTAAATCCCGGCTCATAGATTAGATACATGAGTAACTTGATAAAAAACGGTCAATTCTCCAAGTGACTCCAGTGCACGGTCCCACCAGCAGGAGCTGAGCTGGGGTCATAGGCATGTAGCCCGTGCCCACCTCATGATCCATGTGTAGAGTTTCCTCTACATGGAAATCCTGGCGTGCACCCAAAGAGTCAAGGGCAGGTCCTTCCTTTCTTTCTTTCTAATATTTATTTGTTTAGTTGTAGATGGACACAATTTATTTTATTTATTTATTTTTATGTGATGCTGATTTTCCCTTATGTTTGTTCCCATGTCCTTTGAGATCTCAATCTGAAAACTGCTCACTCTTCCTCCTGAGTGTCCTGTTCACT